AAAAGGGGGGATTTTTAAAAATATGGCTGTTAAAAAAAAATATGGCTGTTAGAAAATCTAACATAACCCCAAGGCCCCCAAGCTCTGTATTTCTGTGGGATAGCACTGCCTTAGCTGCATCCTGTCAGTGGCTGGAGTGCTAGCCAGTCTTTCTTCATCCCTGACCCTGACAGTCCCCCCCTTTACTTTCAGTTGATGTGGCAGGTCCCTCCAGACTTGGAATGGCAGTGGACCTATTGGAGGAAAAGATTAGCAACCTTGAGAAATCCAGGGTAAAGGTCAGTGTCCTTGGCACAGAGGAGCTTTTGGGAAGATGATGGCTTGCAGTATTGGGGGCTGACCCCCATACCCCACAACCTTCTAGAGACAGCATGTGTCATGTAGCTGAGAGGAAGATGAGGGAAGTGAGCCAGAAAGGCTGAGAAAGATAGTGCTGGTACAGAGCCCCTTGCGGGGGTGGGGGAGTGGCTGCGTGATCCCCTCTAATGGGCATCTCAAGGAGCTGTTAAGATGGCAGGTTGTAGTACACGTCTGGCACCTTCTAGGCCTCAAGTCCCTTCAAACCATGACAGCTTGAGGAGCAGAGGCCTGTGTTCTCTCCCTTTAGGAGGAGGTGTCTGTGTTCTCTCCCTTTAGGAGGAAGAACTTGAGAGAATTTGGGGCGCCCAAGTGGATGCAATGAAGGATCACTACATAGTGCTGGACAGAGCAGTGGAGAAGATCCAGACTCGCTTGGGTGACTTAAAGGTTTGGAGCCCCGAGTGTCCAGAAGGGGCAAGCAAGGGGAAGAGTTCCTGCAGACCCTCCCCAAAGGTTTTTCAGAATGGGAGTAGGGGTTGCATTGACAGTTGGGGAACCAAAGGATGCTTTACTTTGTGTAAGTTATACTTCAATTAGAAACAAATAAGTTCCATACATATACACAAAAAGGGGCTGGACAATCCAAGCATTCTTTTTTTTTTTTTTTTTTTTTGGTTTTTTTTTTTTTTTTGTGGAACCGGGAATTGAACTCAGATTCTTGCGTTTGCCAGTCAAGCGCTTATCCTACTGAGCCATCTCCCCAGCCCCAATCCAAGCATTCTTGCCTGCTGAGACAGAATTGCAACTTTGAGCTCAGCCTGGGTAACTTAGTGACTTAGCAAGACCCTGTCTCAAAATAAAATAGGGCTGGGGAGATATCTCAGTAAGTGCAAGGTCCTGAGTTCAATCCCGGAGAGAGAGAGAATGAGAGAGAATGAGAATAAAAATGGGCTGGGGATATAGCTCAGTGTGGAAGCTCTGGGTTCAACCCCCAGTATCACAACTAAGAAAAAAGGGCGAGGTAGCTAGACAATGTCTATCTGGTAGTTTGTGCATTATCTAACCCTAGAAGGGCAGATTAAGAGCTCAGAACATTTGCTGAGTGAACTGATAAAGAAGATTTTTTGCACCATCAGTTATGTTTGTAACATTTGCCTTAAACTACCTCATTTGGGGAAACAGGGCCCTTCCCTAACTTATGAGCCCTGCAGGGCTGTCCAGAGCTGCAAAGCCGCTTGTATGACAAACGTGAAAGTAGATGCAGAACACCTACCCAAGACCCACTCACCCAGTGACCTCCTCTATGGGCCGGAGGATCCTGAAGCATCTACTAACCTTGCTAGAGGGGTCCTCAGGACCTACCTGGTCCAATCCGTACCTTGTCCTAGAGGGGATCCAGACTTCCAGAGAGAGGATCCAGAGTGGGTCCCATGAGGAAGGTAATGACCTTCCCTCAGTGCACAGAAGTAAACAGAACCGAGTTTGTTTCAATAGGGGCTTCTTTTATAGTCAGTCTTGCTATCAGGTGGATCCCAAATTTGCAATCCTCCAGCCTCAGCCTCATGAGTAGCTAGAATCAAGGTATCCATCCACCCTGGGTTCATGGTGGGTTCTGATCCCAGATTAAGGGACTCTTGGTGGAAAAGGAGATTGAGGCAAGCCTGTGACATCTTATTCCCTTCTGAGATAATCAGACAGAATAATCAATCAGGGACACACAGAGGGTAATTTTAAAGGGAAAATAACTATTAAAGGGGGAACCAATTTGTAAGCTAAGTTTTGGGCAAGCAAGGAGAAGAGAGTTTGCTCTCTTTGGCAGGATGTGGCCATATGGAGATGAGGAATATGCAGGGCTGTAGGCTCAGACCTTGTGGGCATCATTGATTGGGAGCCACATTGTCCCCCCTCCTCAAGTTGGCTCTACCTCCAAATAATTGTTACTATAAAGCATCTCAAGTGTAGTCAGGCATGGTGGCACATGCATATAATCCAAGCACTCTGGGAGCTTGTGGCAGAAGAATCTCAAGTTGGAGCCTATCTAGCCTTAGCAACACTGAGACCTTGCCTCAGTGCAAAAACATCTGAAGATGCAGCTCAGTGTGAAAGCTGTGGGTTTAATTCCAGTGCTGGCCCAGCAGGCGGCACATGTCTGTAATCCCAGCACTTGAGGCTGAAGCAAGATTGTTATGAGTTCAAGGCCAACCTGGGCTAGTGAGATCCTGTCTCAAAAAACAACAAAAGGGTCTGGGGAGATAATGATATAAGCACGTGCCTGGTAAGTGCAAAGTCCTGAGTTTAATCCCTGGTACAAAAAAACAAAAACAGTGTGTATTCAAAGTGGTTAGGATAGATATATAGTTGCATTCTCTCTTTTTTTTTTTT